CCTAAAGAGGATCTGTTCCTGCCACAGCCTCCCCTGGGTGGTGAGAAGGGTCCCCCTTGCTGCAGACTGACTGCTGCACAGAGGGAGCAGTGGGGGTAGTCCCAGGGCTAGAGAGGGCTTTGCCAAGCTTCTGGAAAACGCAGCTGACTCTTATGGTTCTCTGTTTTGTTTCTGCCCTCTTCTTTCCCCTCTTCCCAGCTGTTTGCCATGGTCTTTGCTATGTGTCTCTTTCGAGGGATCCAGTAAGGAGTGGCCCATGAACCACCATGTTCCCCACATGCTCAGAAGAAGGAAGAAAAATCAGAAGAAAAAAACCTGAAAACACTCAAAAAAACTTTATTTTTTTTTAGCAAAATGGGATAGGGAAAAAAAGGAAAAAAGAGGGTTGTAATATATGAATGACCAAAAGGATTGTACTTCAGGGGCTGGAACTTTGAGGTGATGTGCACTACACTGTACACCAGACCCTTGCCCAGAGCCACCTACAACAGCCGTGGAGCAGGAGCTCAGCACAGCTGATTGCACTAGAGACTGATGGAGCCGCTGGGGAGATGTGAGAGGATGAGGACAGCTCCTTCTCCCACAAGGCTGAGCCCACCACGTGTGACTTTATCATGCTGTAGACAGCAAAGGACTGAACAAGAGACATGCAGGGGCTGGAGAAGGCAACAGCTTGGCCATGACTGTGCAGGTGGGTTTGCAACGAGCAGTGGTGGCTCATCTAAGAAGTAGGTAGTCATTCTTTGTGTGATTCTGGCTTTAATTTCCAGCCATAGGATGAAAACACACGTTCTTCAGTGGAAGCTTTGCCCCTGTCATGTGGAACTTGCCAGAGAAGTCAAGCACTTCGGTGGTGCTGGAGCCCCAGGCAGGGGCAGCCTGATCTAACATGGCAATGGGACTCAGCTAAGACTGGCTGAGGGGCAAGAGTCTGATGCCTACCTTTGTGTTTTTACTAAGATTTCTTGTTCATTGTTGTGAAAAAGAGGCCAAATGGTTCCCTGCTGTGTTCCCAGCTCCTGGGAAAAGTGAGGGCTCTGGTCAAGAATCACTGGTCCTGCTGCCTTCCCGAGAAGGGGAGGAAACTTTTGTCACCCTTTGCCTTTCCCTTCACACTTGCAAAAAATGGTTTGTGGTGCTGTTAGCATAACTATTTGCAGTGGTTCCTATGTGCTTTCCAGCCCTAAGGGGAGGTCTGGGCATGATGCTGGATGGAGTAGGCTGAGGTTTGTCAACTACTCCCAAGCTGTTTGCCTGAAATAGTCTGGGGGCATCATTCC